GGCGGCCGCGGTGCATGGGCACGGCGGCACTCCGGCGGGCGAGGCGGCGGCGGCCGCGCAGCCGTTTGGGGCTGCCGTGCGCACGGCGGAGCCCTTCAGCAGCGGCTGCGAGCCTGGGGCTCAGCTGTGGGGTCAGCCGGCCTTTGAGGCCGCCGCTGCCGCCCACGCAGGCGGCATCGGCGATGGATGCTCGCGGGGGCCATTCCCAATCCATGACAGCCTGGAAGAAGTCATGTCGCCCGCGGCCCGCGCGGAGGCCGAGCGGCGGCGCGGCGAGGCCGCCGCGGCGGCGGCGGCCGCCTTCGTCGTGGCCGCGGCGGCCGCGGCCGCGGCGGAGGGGGAGAGGGGGCAGGGCGCGGAGGCGGATGATGCGAGCAGCGACAGCACCTTGTGGGTGAATATCCGCGAAGACCCTTACGACGACAGGTGAGGGGGGGGGCTGTAGCGGTGAGGAAGCGGGTGCCCCCGAGCGCCCGCCCGTCGCCGCCGCCGCCGCAGGCAGCGGCCAGGGGGAGCCTGCCGAGCGCGGGGCGTGGCTGCTGCTTTGCCGACGCCGCATGTCCTTTGAGGTGCACGGGTCAATTCTGCATGACACCGCTTCGAATGCCCCGCGTTACCACACCGATGTTGTGCTTTTTTGTGCCAGGTGGGACCTGGCGCAGGGCTGCGGCGACGACGGCGAAGGTTTTGGGGACGGCTGCGGCGGCGGCGACGGGGACGGTGACGAGTGCTACGAAGACGCGATGGCGGTTATGCCCGTGCTGTCAGCCGGCCTGAGCGGCGACTACGGGGCCAGGGTCTAGGATTCAGGGGTGCCTGTCACAGGCAAGCACCCTCGGCCGGCCGCGTTGAGCCCCACCCCCTGGTGACCGGAAGCAATGGCTAGATTAATACCAAGAACGAAGCGTGCGCGCTCGCGGGGCCCGTGCGCGGTGGCGACGCACGGGGCTCGCCGCGGGCGGCGGCGGGGCGGGGGGCGCAGCGGTTTCGCCTCTGCAGCGACGCGTCTTTCAGCAGTGCCTGGTTGCTGGCTGACATGCGGCAGAACGCGGTTGGCCGTGGCCACCTGCTTTGCCCGTCCAAGAAATATGGCAGGAGAGGCGGTGGGTCAGGGCTTTGCAAGAGCGGCAGGGGGCGCACGCAGTGGTGCTGTCCTGAGGTTTGGGAGGGAGGGCAGGGGGCCGGGGGTTTGTTGGGATTGGCTTTGCTTGAAACTCGACCAGTGGTGGATTTCATGACTAAATGTACTGTCTGCACGGATCTGATTTTGCTTGTTAGCTTATCAGAAACCTGAAGCCTTGCGGATGCTGCCCGTCTGAACCGTGGCGCGGCATCTGCGCGCGCGCACCGATTGTGTCGGTGGTTGCAACCTGCGGCTTCCAGCAAATTCCAGCAAAATTCATGACGCACGCGGCGCCGCTGCATTGGCAAGCAACGTTGGTGGGAGTGGCGGCTGCGGGAGGGCCGCTTGGAGCTACAAAGCACCCCTGATTTCAGCAGCCACGACGTGTTTGATGAACTTCAAGGCGCAGACGACAGGGGCAGCCCTTTTGCTGTTGCTTCGGCGCGTTGTCTGACTCGCAACCCTTACCCAACTGCTGCCATCCCTGCAATTCACGTGACCCTTGGCCCGCATAATCAGGCGCCGCAGCGCGCCCCTTGCCCCCAGCCTCGATGGGCGTTTGATTCCAATCCACTCGCGCACTTGCGGGCCATTCAATGCTGCTCTGTAATTCCCGCCTCATTCTGCAGCTTTGAAACGGCGAGGAACGGCGCTCGGCTATGTCGTGTTGCACTGCAAGACGCCTGTGCCAGTGTTGCGCCGAGGACGCAGTCGTGATCCCATGATCTGGCCAGGGAAGGCCGGCGCTAGCTGACGCTGCGCATGCCCCGGCAGCTTTGCTTGGCAGCGCGTGTGTTGGTATAGGACTCTGCCTGCTACCTCATACACGCGTTTGGCGCACCCCTCCCTCAACCCCCCCCCTCTAAATCAACACACACAACGCTTGCTTGTTGTGCTGCTGACTAAGCCCTGAGGTCCGGACAGTACCCTTGCAGCGGCTTACATTCCAGCCTGGCGACAAAGAGGGCCGACAAATACGCACGTCAGCACGACCTGCCAGAATCGCTGAACACTGCTGTGCCTTAGTGAATGAGTGGCCGCGCGTGCTACGCCTTCCGACAGCGATCATGCGCTTGCGCTAGCTTGCAGCCCACAGCCGGGGCGCGCCAGTTGGCTGCGTGTCACTCGTTGTCTTCTTACAGGTGCGCAACCAGCAGCTGGATTTGCTTTGTGGGCGCAGACAAAGCCCAAAAATGCGATCTTGGCATAACAAGACGGAAGCTGGGAAGCCAGAAGGGCGCCGGCCACCCAAGCAGATATCTAAGTCCCGGGCGCTCCAAGCAGCCCGCGCGGCACGTGTACTGCATCCCAAACGTGTGCTGCACTCAAAATCATCTCACGCATCGGTCGGCGCCGCGCCGCTGGTTTTCAGGCCGACGGCGACAACCCCCTCTCCCCAAAACTGCGTGTGGGCGGCCCTTGGACAGAGCACGCCCGTGAGTATTTGAACGCGAGAATCCTTGCGCGGCGGGGGCCAGGCAGACCACGGCTCAGCACGGCATCACGGCCGGGTTCCCAGGTTCCGAGACTGGCAGCATATTTGAAGCCTTTTGCTCCATTCAGGTTCACACAAGCTTTTAGCGACGAGCGGTCTCGCAACAGGGGCACGCATGAGGCGGCCTGCCTGACGGCGGCGCTCCGAGGGCGGCCGCAGTAGCGCGGCCGCGGCGGTTGATGGCAGGCCGGCCCGCCGCAGGCGGCGTAATCGCTGGGGCAGGGCGACATGCACAGGCGCGCTGACACCATGTATTGCAGGAGAATCTTGACTAAGAAAGCTGAAGTGATACATGCCTGCCTCCCAGGCCGGCCGCGCCACTCACTGGCCCGTGTCTGCGAGGCCCGACGCCGCCTGCGCGTCCGCGACCGCCGCCGCGGCCGCGGCCGCAACCGGCCGCGCGCTCGCGCGCCGCGACAGACGGTCGCCTGGCAGCAGCTTGATCAGGCGGTTCCTATAGGCCACCATCCTGTGGCCCGGGAAGAACCCCTTCACAGCCCCAAACGACCGCCAGTCCCGCGGATACCGGTCCATCGGCTTGAGCGCGGGCTCGAGCCCCTGGGCCGTGAGGACCCACTGCTGTCCGATGCAATAGGTACGCTCAACCGCGTATTTTCGAAGCAGGACGCCGAACAGCTCGAGCCCCACCGCGGCGGGCGGCAGCGCGAGCAGGAACGGCAGCGTCATACCGACCAGCGGCGCGAGCGCCGCCGCGAACGGCGCGCCTGCGGCCGCGACGCTCGCGGGCAGCAGCGCGCTCGCGGCCGCGGCGGCGGGGAAGGTCAAAACGCTCGGCGCCGCGAGCGCCGCGGCGCGGGCCGAGTTCCAGAGCACGCGTGTGCGCCAGGTCGGCCCCCGGCGCTGCAGCACCAGCGGGGGAGGTGGCGCCGCAGCGGCCTGCACGGCCGCGCCGGCGGCGGCGGCGGCCGACATGAGGGGTGTGGAGGATGCGGAAGCGCTCCTGCTCGGTGTCGGCGCTGAACCCCTGCCGCCTGCTGGCTCTGGCCTCAGCAGCTGCTTGGCAGGGCCCTGCGTGGCGCCTGCGCCGCCCTCGATAGCCAGCGGCGCCGCCGCGAACACCACGCGCGCCGCGGCGGCCGGCACGGCGGGCGCATCAAACGGGCTCCTGCCGCGCGGCACGCACGGCGCCGGCCGCTGCTCCCCGCCCCGCATCTGATCGGGCGCCCGAGCCGGCGCCTGCTGCCCTGCCTTCGCCGCCGCCTTGGCCGCTTTAGTGGCCGCCCTCGCCGCCGCCGCCTTCGCGCGCCGCTCCTCCTCCGCCCACACCCACGCCGCCTCCTCCCGCGCCAGTAGCCACCCCGCGCCCCCCGCGCGCGCCCGCTCTTCCGGCGTCATCCGCAGCCCCAGCATCTCCGCCTCGGAAAGGCCGATGACGCCTGCTTCGGCCGCCGCGACGATCGCCTCTGTCAGCAGGCCGCCCTGCAGGTCGCTCGCCGGCTCGAGCGGCGACGCGCCGCCGCCGCCGCCGCCGCCCTGCCCACGCCGCCCGGCAGACTGCGGTGTCCGCGTGCCGGCGGGCGCGTCCCCGGCCGCCGGCGCCCCGGCGGCGCCGGCGCCGTCCAGCGAG